CTCATATATTGCAGCATCATGTTTGTTTGTGTAATCATGCATTGTTCTTAAATAATAAAGGTATTTTCTCTTATTTGATACATTATCATATGATATTTGTGTGTTAACATGTATAACTTTTAATGATACTGTTCTTTATCTAGAAAGAAACTGCTCAATAAGTATTTAATTTTGCTGCTGGTTAACATCTATCCTTCGCCTTTATCGGGAGGGAGTTTTACTTTCAGTGGGATGGTTAGACTCTCTGGGTAAAATATGGTATACACTATCCTGTGAGGTTGCCAGTAGAATTTCTATTACTGCTATGATTGAGAAAATATTTAATTATTACTCATAACAATGTACAATTGTACATTCTATTATATATTGTAAGTATCATATTGTACTTTGTGTTACATATGGATTATAAATGATTGTATACATGTACATCCGTTGCTGCTTCTCCAAATCCCTCCAGAGGCGTGCACGTCGCGGAGAAGGCACACGGCAGGTCAAGGTCAAGTCATCTTAAGTACCAGAGGTGATTGGTTGACCTGTCGTGACTAACTCTGGAGGGTTGGCGCTAATGAGAGCCGTTTTTGTTATCGTCAGTATGGATCTTGATGCCTGGCCAGTATTGTCGTACTCCTCTACCACCAACGAACGAAGAATAGGCTACAGGAAGATTCAGCTTGACAAAGACGTCCCCGATGTGACTACCTTAGTGGACCGGCAAGGATGCTATATTCTCGGACATATGGAATTTCCGGCGCCGAGTATAAATTAACCGAAATAGAAAGAAAGTATCCGTTGCTATTAATAATCACGATCATAAAGAAATAACAAGTAATATTCTAATCTCATAATGAACAATGTCTTTTGTCTGGTAAAAAACCAATTAACCATTGAAAAGTTTATAAGAATATCTTGACATCATATGTCTACTAGTTCATCTTCACTTTCTGCATTTCTTGCTTGGACGCCCTTTGATGCTTTGCATCAATGCTTTTCTTGTAGCCTACTGTAATAATACAGTTACATCTAAGATGATATCTATAGCCTACTGCATATGTTAATATCCGTTGACAGGAGTTTATTACCTATAACAAAATCGAAGGTTTGTAAATGGTACATAATGATGGACTGGCTATCTGAACTTAACTTTATCTTTTACTCACACATAGTGTAATGTTTGTATGTTCAAAATGCTACAAGTTTCATCATAGTAGACCTTTAATACAGCAGAAAATAAAAGAATTTTCGGTAAATATTTGCACACCTATATATAATATGACCTATGTCAAAATAATACTTTGTTAATCACAACAATTATGTAATTACGGCATTTTTTTACTAAAAGATATTCATGATTTTAATTCTATCTGGCAACGAAATGTTGTGGGAAGAATTTTATTGTTCTCTCACTTAAAAAATCGAAAATAGATTCTAATGAAAAGAATGTTTGAAAAGTTTATAGATAGATAAAAGTGTAAGACATCATAATCATTTTTTCGCTTTAAACTCCACTGAGGTCAAAAAACCTAAAAACATAAAATTTAAACTTCCTTTTTAAATTATCTGGGGCACTTTAAACAGAAAGATAATTAAGAAATAAACTCAGAAGTAAATTGAAGATTTTAAATTGTATTTTTGTGGTATTCTTTGCCCGATTTGAATGAAAAGCGTTGCAACGCTTTCAATTTTGGATTAATTATTTTCACATTCAGAATGATTGTTCTGGAAAACATCATTCCAGAGCGAATGATCTGGAATTTTACACACCAGTATTGTTCTAGACTGACATCAAATGAAACATTTATCTCGAGAAATTATTTCAAGTCCCTTTAAATAATGTACCAAGACATATTAAACAAATATTGTCCTATTTGTGGAACAAAACAAATATGAAAAATAAATATGAAAGTGGGCGGAGCCAAAACTCATTTTCAGGACTACTTTCTCAGATGTTTCTCTGTTGCCGTCGGTAGCTTCATATATTGATTTCATTATCGGAAATTATTTGGTTATGTTTTACAAAACAGTATATAAATTGACTATCAAACCGCGTCACGCACCTAATCAATCAATGTATAGCTTGAATTGCTAATAGGGGTGTGCATAATTCCAATATAAAAACATACTATTTATCGCCTTAATTTTACTTTCTGATCAATCACTCTTGTTTTTTTGTTGTGTTTAGAAAAAAAAGTGTAGTGGTAGAGTGTTCGCTCTGTGAATGTGGACACCCTGGTTCGAATCTTGGAAAAGGTCTTTTTTTCATTTTACTTTATGTTTCTAAAATTAAAAATCCATACTTAAAGAAATGTGCACAGATGCAGATTTGAACTCGAAAAAACATGTTCATAACCTAAGATCTTCATAATCTGAACTCTCTAACCACTACGTTACTCACATTTATGAGTCTATTTCCACTTTTATTATTCTATATTGCAAAATACTGCGACAGTTAATAATTAAGAACCCGAATAACCTATTATAACATAATGGTACAATCGATTAATGTAAACGTTATCGTGTGTGACTTATATTACTGCGCGCTGTACAAAGTAAATAGGTGTATTCGTAAACAATTTTTGCCTTGAAGGCAATTTTTTTGTCTTTTAAGAAATATGGTATATATTCTCACCTTTCATGATAAAATTCTATATATTTCACCCGCCATTTTGGCTCGTGAAAATAAATGGAATATTATCATATTTCGTAAAAATATATATCATATTTTGCGCAGATGAAAATATATTGCAAGAAAGCGAAAATTATTAAAGATGGCCAAGAAAATATTTTCTGCATTTAACCTTTTCCCTTATATAAGCGTGTTTCGACGGCTTTTTGCCCCCCCCCCCCCTTTTGAGGCCTCAAAAAGTGTAAAAATGTCCTATTTAGACCCCAAACACTGTTTTTCGTTTGAGAAATGTTGGGGGGTTGCCAGAAGGGGGATGTGCCCCCTTCTGTTTGGGGGGTTTGAAGGGGGGCGGAGTCCCCCTCATCGCCAAGAAAATTTTGGACTTGTGAGAGGCTTAAAATGACCCCAGGTTGATCATAAGGTAACGTGTAACCAACGCTGAAAAGCCTTTGACTCTATCTCAATCCCTTGAGAAGTTGCAGCACTTTGAAGTAAATTTTGATGGAAAAAATCGAGGCAAAAATCTGATTTTTGGCAATTTTGAGATGTCCCCTCGTTGCCATGGTAACATGAAATTTAAGACTGAGCATATCGTTACAAAGGCAATGGTCCAGTCAACATTTGTGCCAAGTTTGATTAGTATTGAAGCATTTTTCATAGTTTCATAGCAGTTTGAACTTGTAAGAGGAGGCTTTTCAGTGAAAATGGCCATTTTTCACAATATGCTCATGGGGGAAAGGGTTAATTTAAAATCTAACAATGCATGAATAAGCATCAAACAATATATACTCAACATCACTAATTCCGCGTCATCACTTATCTCACGGTAATGGTATATTTTCATGTGACTATTGACATAATTGATCAGAACTGACATATTTTATTCAAAAACCTTAACAACAAAGTTTTTGTGCAAAATAATTTAAATCTATAGATTTTTACGTAAAACTGAACAACATTTTACAAACTTCTGCAAAAAACAACAATATTCCATTAAATTTGTGTATACGTCTGAAACAATCATCATTTTCTAAATGTTCTTGTTTGTTGAAAAAATAAATTTTGAGTTACAATGTAAAGATACTTTTAATATTTAAATTATGCAAAATAACTTAAAGAAATTTTAAGTGAAACATGAAAAAACTGAAATAAAACACCATTACCGCGAGGTAAATGATGACATACTGTTTTCAAAATGGCCGACACACGGTTTACATCTGACACATTAAAACTAATTTTGATTGAATATATTGTTGTTTCCTTGTGTCATATAGCAGAAAAATGACTAAATGATACAGTTTATGACAGTTTTTGTAGTGTAAGTTTATTGTTTGTGTTCTTTACTGTTTTAAAGTGTAAAGTACCGTGAACTAAGAGGAGCACAGTATAATATAGAATATTTCTTTTTGCTTCTATAACCATTTATTTATTTACTTATTTATGATTATTGTTGTTGTTGTCGTGGTCGTCGTTGTCGTCGTTGAACTGCATCATAGATCAACAATATGAGCAGCGTATCAGTTCATTTATTAGTATATCTACGGTAGCTAAAAAGATATGACAGAAGTTGGTCATTTATTAAGATACGGGTATGTGTGTTGACATTTGTATGACGTGGGTACATAATTGTAAAGGGATGAAAATGACATTGATATTAATTTCAAAATTGCGATTATTTTGGCTCTATTGATACAACATTTTGGATCAATGTATGAAGTTACCAAATATTGATGGAACAAACTGCGACCACTTAATATAAAAACACTTACATATTTATTTTTATTGGGAAACTTACAACTGTTTTATTTGGTAAGATTATATTTATGAATTGTGAAACAACACTTCTTATAGATGTCATTTATTTTATGTTCTTAGATCACGTAAAGGACAATTGGGCAGTTTTCGCCAGAACACAAACGTAGAAATGTGGGTTTGGCCTAGACTATAAAAGAGTAGAGAAGAGTAACGACAAATCATTTATTTTGATTTTATCAGCAGACGATTTGTTTCTACTCTTAACATTAATTTTCTAAAAGATAGAAAGAATATTGCTGATATAATTTAACGGATACACGTTTCTGATTAAATTGACAACAAAGTTACATTAAAATTTAACAGCATATTTACGAAGTAACTACGATTGTTTACATGGTAAAAAAATAATCATATTTCAAGTAAAACATAATAATTCATAATAAATTGTCTTCTTTAACATAAAAATATCAGTTTATTAACAATTTTATTTGAAAAGTTTTATAAGAAAGATTCGACTGTTCGACGGAAGTGATATCAGAGGAGGATCAATTAAAACTACAGATCAACTACTGTCTATATTACAACAGACGTATAAGGACGATTTTGTAGATATTTTCTTGCAGAAACTAACGTTGTTATAAGAGAATATATTATACTAACTATGCATTCAGCACGTATGGGATTGTGTATTTCGGCAATGATGGCGCTATGTGGATACGTCAGTTCTTTTATCTTAGCTGAATCACAAGCTCTCAGATCTTCGGTCACAGGTGAGTAGTTGAAGTTTATGATTCTAAAATGTTATTTTTACTAAAATTACTTTTGATATCGTGAGTCATGTTTCAGTCCTATTTTGATAGCCAAGATTTAAATATGAATACTATAGTAGTTTGAGTTATTTGAGTTACAAAAATCATTTCTGAGCGCTTGAATTACATGTAATGCCCTTGATGGAAATGTATAATTAAACTAGTTAATTAAAAAAAAAGCGTTTTGCAAATCAGATAGACTAAAATTTGTAGCACAGCATGTAAACTTTGATAGAAAAATACTATTATATTAAATAAGATCTATAATAAGTAGTACGTAAGTATTTCTTAAAATACATGCTTAAAGTATTGACACGAAATCTGTTAAATATGTATATACCTAACATTATAACTATATCTAATGAAACATTTCAATAAGATACATAAAAGATAATATTATGTTGCTTTCATAAATAATCTTATGGTGATTTCTGGAAAGACATGTAACATATATAATGTCTCTATTATTTAACAAACGTGTCCATAAACAGATTAAAATGCTCCTAACAAAATATTATTCTGCTATTTCAGAAAGGGTTTTAAACTTTTGAACAATGATTTCATGCATGCACAATTCGCTCTTAAGAAAATACTCAAACATATTTCTTTTATTACAGGTATTTGGAATTATTCCTTTTTTTTTCTCAAAATTCAAACAATAGCTTTGTAAAATAATGCAGTAGATATGTATCCACTTTGAAAATAACAGTACTCATTTTGCACAATACTTAATTGCCACAGAAAATAAACCATGATTAATATTTTTTGCATCAGTAATGTATAATGATAAAATAAACTATGATATATTTATTGCAATATTTATCTCCAACTCCCTTAGAGTATAATTCATATAATAATAATAATAATATGGTATTTAGTTGTGATTAATGCTTCCGAGGGATCACCCTTTTTCCAGATGTTTACCATATTTCTATGGCAATGTTCCATGAATGTATACACGTATTAAGATAATATAATGTTGAAGATATAATGTTTGAAAAAAGTTGTTAAAATATGTTTGAATATGAATTACATGGGAGAAAAAACAACGTAATTAACACGCTAATTAATTCTTTACTGCGGTCTTGTGATTCAAATTTAGATTGTATCATAGTTTGGGGACCTTTCTGTTGAAAATGTGCCAGAGTTAAATCGTATACATATACATGCACAGTGCGTAAACTAGAGTGCAGGTATTAGTTACCCGCACTCCAGAGCATGCCCATTGATTGGTTCATTTTTGCTGGGGTTTACATATTGCGACGGAAGAGAAAGGGCTAGCCTGGGATTCAGGCGTTTATATTTTTTTATTTATTCATAACTTACGCGCTATTTCATACTCGATCGTCATAGATAACACAACATCTCTGGTTTTGATAGTATCAACGTCGATTTGCCGAACAGAAGCACATAAAAAATCGACAGACTGGAACCCAGGCTAAGGGAAAGCGACAGAAATATAATATTCAGAAGCTCGTTCATTTGTACTTTTCTCCGGGGTTTCATATTGCGACAACAGGGAACGTGTTTTTATGTTTGACTATGATACAAAAGAGAAAGAACACCAAAACACTCGGCAATCTGATTAATACCCGGATAAACGCCCCCTCGTACAAATCAGATGGCCTCGTGTTTTGATGCTCTTTCTATTACTAGTAAGTTATTAATTGCGTTTAGAAGAATGTATTACGGAGACTGTGGTGTTCTTGTATTTAAATTATTTGTAGTTTCATTTCTGTTTAAACGAAATCCCTTGCTCAGATTCTGTCACCCTTTAGAAAAAAAATCACCATACAATTTCAAAAAAATACTTCGTAATACTTAACAAATCAATAAGAATTTCAAAATGGTAATTAAAATTAACATGATTTTGTCTATTGATACCGAGTTTGTTGGCAAATTCTTTTTTTCTTTCATTATTCTGTTGTAACATTCAAGCCAGTGTGGAAAAATCAAGTCTTATAAGTCTGCCATTTTCACTTATTGGATTTTGAACTTTTCCGCTTTTAAAAATGGTTTTGTTTAATATCAATGTTTTAAACAAAAATTACAAAATCATCATGGTGTGCGAAAAAAATGCCAAAATAAATATGTTGTTATTTCAAACGTCGTTAGAGCGCCCACGAATGCACGATTACAAACTAAAGGAATGTGTAAAGAAGTTAAATTTCGATTTATTAACTACAGATTTATACTTATTAACCTCGCCTTATTTGAATTAGGGAGTCTTGTGTTGAAATGTCGTGGTACAAAATTATTATGAATCGACTAATGATTGAGAGTATAGGCATGGTTTGAATACCTACGTTGTTAACATTCGTATTTTCCCATTTTTCCAAAAAATATCTATCTCTATTTAATTAACTTTATTTCTCGGAGACTGATAAATGATATTTACTTAACCAAATATAAAATTTTCGAGACACAATGTTACATCAGAATGTGTGTTTATACTTTAATCTTTTTAGTCAGAATTTGTTTTTAGACACATGTTATAGATTTAATACATAAAGTCGGATACATTACTCCAGCCAGTAAATTATGATAAATTCTATATTATTTGTCTAAAGATTACCGTTTAGTGATTTGTTTTCTTTAAGTTGATAATTTTGACATTGGTGGATTATACGTGTTTGGATGACATTTTATTTAGTATGTGAAAACTATTTACAATAGAATTATATTAGTTGTAAGGTCTAGTTTGGATACTTTAACAGCATTTAAAATATACGTCATTGTTGATAATAGCAAAGTCGATAGAACTTATTGAAATTAATCTTGTTTATAAACCATTTAAGTCTTGTAAATATTTACTTGTTTCTTACTATAATAGATGTTGAGACAGAAGCTCTGTTGTGATTTAAGAGTTAGTGACATGTTTCCCCAAACTTGATGTATAAATAGTAACATTTGTTGCTTATGACGTCAACATTATCCCGGAAATTAATGTTAAAATTAACAACTGGATATTCATATATACGAGGGGTTAACGTAAATTGTTTTATGACGTAAACCAAAGTTTGACTTAAAGGCCCATTATAAGGCCCAGACATGTTTTTATTTTATATCTCAAACGTTTTATTTTTTATATTTTATCTTTATTATTATTATTTACATTTATTTGTTTTAAAAATGTTACTCAATGGCCAATCTCCTAAACCATCTATTTTCCTCTTTTCGTCTGTTTTTTTTTTACAATTAATTATGTTTGTATATAAGGCAAAATACTACTTTTGTCTACATTTTGTTACATTTATGACAACTGATTTCACGTTTAACGTTATTTTAGTCCAGACAACAAAACATCCAAGTTGAATATGCTGCAAAACCATAATTTGAACGATATAGATTTCTTATTTACCCTTAAGAAATAAGTAAACATTAATGTGTTATAATTATTTTTGTTCATTTATAAACAAGACGGTTTTTACTTGGTACAAAGGTATACTAGTAAGTAATTTTGTTTTCGGCCGTACAATGTTTGCCGTGGTCAATATTATGTGTTCACTTTTAAAAAATATTACACATGAATACATCGTTTATTGTTGAAGTTCTATGCTATAAGGCGGTTGTGTTTTAATTTGTGTGATGCACATTATCACCATGCTGGTCAGATATATAAAGAAGAAGATTCATATGAAATTATTCTATTTCAAATTTTATAAAGGCAGCACAATACTGTAAATTTTTATCAGATTTGTGGGCCAAGAAAAAAGTCTTGATTTTTAGACAATCTGAATATAACAAGATTACGTTACATATAAAACGATATTAAATAGCGTAACAAAATCTCCTTTCAAACCAATTTTCCTGCTGAAGTCTCTATATTCATGAAACCATATCAAATTAGTTGTAATGGAATTAAAATGGCACATGTTATCTCGGGTGTGAAATAGATATTCTTCTTCTTTTCTTTAATAAAATATATGAAAATATTTAAGCCTCGTTTCTTTAATTTAATGAAATAATTAACATTATATGAGTAACACATATGTTTATGAGTAACAGTAAATATATCATCCATGAGGAAAATACTGTTACCCGAGACGTTAGCAACAAGAAACTGTTATAAGCCCTTATTGTCAAAGAAAATACTCAACAGTTGTTTAGATAATCTGATAATCATTAAATGTACTGATACCATAATTCATTTATTTAGTTGTACAATATGGTAATATTGACATATACAATAGTGGGCAGCTATTAATGAATAGATGGTTGAATTAATTAGTTTATTTGTTTATTAATATAGCGCCATGGTTTGTGTAATAATTGAGTAAAATGGCAAAACTTTACATTAATGTTGATTCATAACTGTTCCAGACTAGAGGATATCAGCTTAACCAATTCTTTTTATATTCTGTCCGAGTGAAATTTTCAGAAGTGTTCCTTGTAGAATACTGGACACAGAAAACGATAAATATATAAACATATTCAAATATAAAGAAAGCCTTGGCACATTTTTATTCATTTTTTTCAACTGTTGTCAATTGTTTTCAATACATTTATACTTAACCAAAAAATATTACTCTATATTATACATTCAAATCGTGATATTTTCCTATTTCGGTATCATGCTTTAATACACAGGGAAACCACAAGAACATCATGTTAAGACAATTAAAATTAAATTTGCGTAATTTTATAGAAAATACTTAAGGAAATGATGTTTTATTTACTTTCAGGTCAGCAAAACAAAGAAATAGAAAAGAAAATTTATTTCTTGACCAAACTTCTTCAACAGATGAACTTGCCTAAAGATACCAGTCAGTCATTTAAAGAAGTTGCGGCAATAACGGGCACGAGAACATCTGTCATGAATGTACAGTCATTATCAACTTCTGATAATCTTTATAAAGCGATCAAATCTGACATTGGTGTAGTTAGTCCGCCGGTAAATTCCGAGATAAATGTACAGACAACGGTTGATGATGATGCTAATACAAACAATTCTAAATTACAACAGAAAGGTGCTACTTTGTCAGTAGAAGAGCAAAGACACAAAGATCTCACTTCACTTTCAAATGAAGATAAATCTTATATCAAAAATGGTAAGCTGCAAAGATTAATATTTTACCTTGATATAATCTTTATAACTAATAGGTAACTTTTACTTATAACGTATGTAACTTGTACTCATAGCCTATGTACATTGTACTCATAGGCTTGTGTAACGTGTACTCATTTCCTCTGTAACTTGTACTTATAGGCTGTGAATAA